TAGCTGATGGTTAGCATAAAGATGATGATGTAGTTGATGGTTAGCATAAAGATGTTGGACGTAGTGGATGGTTAGCAAAAAGATGTTGGACGTAGCTGATGGTTAGCATAAACATGTTGGACATAGCTGATGGTTAGCATAAAGATGTTGGACGTAGCTGATGGTTAGCATAAAGATGTTGGAGGTACCCAATGGTAGCCTCGAAGACCTTGTTCTGATTATTACAAGATTCAAGCCAAACAGGTGAGCAATGTCATGTCGTATCATCCTAATCCTGTATGTGACCTTTATTACCAAGAGTTCAAGTCAAATAAGTTTTCTTTTGTGTTTGCAAACTCGATTTAAAGTGCCCAATTAAGTAAAACAAACTTTCTGCAATGAAGAAGTACTAGCCTGGCTAGTCGAGGGAACTCACAGACTGACAATACCAGAAGTTTAAGGAGGGCAATACCGGAAAACATTTGTAGTTGGTGGTGCAATAACTATCTGTACTGAGTATTGTCTCCATGCTGACAGGCATGGCGACTCAGTGGTCTGTGGCGATACAGCAGCCTAATAATACAGAGTAATGTCCCCTGGTTGCCAGGATCTGCTGGCTTGAGGTGGAGGCATGGGAACTTAGTGGTCTGTGGCTCTACAACTGAGTAGTGCATATGCTTTTTCCAAAAAATACAGCTGTGTAGGGGAATGTGCAGAAAATGAATTTTGATCATTTTTCCCGATGGAAAGACGTTCAAGTGAACACAAAACACCAGAAAAAGCATGTCAACAAATCTGTACCGAAGTATGCAAGTTAATCCTGTTATTACTCCATCAAGTTATAAAAAGTCTTCACTGTATACATCTCGTCTTTATGTTTGTAATCTATTTTGTTAATCTTACTCAAAATTTCTTTTTGTTCTTTATCAGAGAATGGTTGCATATATCAATGCGTACTTTGATTCATAAAAAGTCCTATTTGTTGTTGTTTCACTTTATACGTTAATGACCAGTGAAGTTCCAGGGGAGAATAGATCTTAGCAACCCATGCTTGCCATATAGGCAACTTTGCTTGTCGTAAGAGGCACCTAATGTGATCGGGTGGTCAGGCTAGCTGACTTGGTTGATGCATGTCATTGTATCCCAATTGCGTGGATCGATGCTCATGATGTCAATCCCTGGATTATCTGGTCCAGACTCGATATTTACAGACCGCCGTCATATAGCTGGAATATTGCTGAGTGTGGCGTTAAACAACAAATCAATTATATGTTTTCATATTGTTTCTGCCATCTGTCAATACATCAAAGTGATACATGTATGGCTATATCTATTTTAAAGATATAAAGCAAAAACTGCAACTAAAGTAACAAGCTGTTGGAATATATTAATCGTGGTAAAATGTCCTTTGTGGGTTCCTTTCCCTGAATTCACAACATTGGTCTCCCTGCTCCAGGCTGTATTGTCATGGCATCATCAGAATCCTCCCACATATAACTGCCACTTTTTGTCCGTCTTCCTTGAAATGAGCACACCAACCCAAAGCCTGGTCTCTTGTCGTCATTTATGTTATATATGTTAACATTACTTTCCGACCTGTGAAGATCGGGGTAGAATAGGTCTTCAGCAACCCATGCTTGCAGTAAAAGGTGCCTGTGCTTGTCGTAAGAGGCGACTAACAGGATTGGTCGGCCAGGCTCGCTGACTTTGTTGATGAATGCCAATTGTGTGGATCGATGCTCATGATGTCAATCACTGGATTGTCTAGTCCAGACTTGATTATTTACAGACACCCATCATATATCTAGAATATTGCTGAGTGCAGCGTTAAACAAAGAAAAAATGTTAACATTACTTTCCAGACCTAACACGATTTGATTTTAAGTCACAGATTGTGTAATTGGAGAGTAATAATTTCGAATGGCATTTTGATCCCAAATTACTTATTTATGATTGCCTTGAGGCCTTTTAGAAAGAGACACTGTGTAACAGATGAAAGAATGAGTGAGGGACTTGCCTTGCTAGGGTTGCTTTCAATAGGATTCAGTTATGTCTTCATAGTTTGTCCGCTTAATGTGGTCGAAGGTATGGGTATTGGTGGACACCAACAAGCACAGGTATTTCTTTAACAATCCAAAGATCACTATAATGGGGCACAATTGATGTGCTTTGGATCCAGTGGCCACCCATGCCTGTCAGAGGCCTTATTGGGAACTGAAGCAAGGATTTCACTTATACCAACTGGATCCTGGCAGCCAAGGTGCACAACAAAGGGTTGCAACACTCCACCCACCAGGCCACCCGTACCCATCAGAGTTCTTTATAGGAACTGGAGAAGGATTTCATTTACACCAACTGGATCCTGTCAGCCAAGGTGCACAACAATGATTTGCAGCACCTCAACCCGCTGGGCCACTCATGCCTGTCAGAGGCTTTATTGGGAACTGGAGAAGGATTTCATTTACACCAACTGGATCCTGTCAGCCAAGGTGCACAACAAAGAGTTGCAGCGCCTCAACCCACCAGGCCACCTGTACACATCAGAGTTCTTTATAGGAACTGGAGAAGGATTTCATTTACACCAACTGGATCCTGGCAGCCAAGGTGCACAACAAAGGGTTGCAACACTCCACCCACCAGGCCACCCGTACCCATCAGAGTTCTTTATAGGAACTGGAGAAGGATTTCATTTACACCAACTGGATCCTGGCAGCCAAGGTGCACAACAAAGAGTTACTGCGCCTCAACCCGCTGGGCCACCCGTACCCCTTTGTCACAGCTAGATTAAGAAGATGTGGATGACATACTAACAAAAGGTATCCTAGTACATGTATAATATGTACACTGAACTGATCAAATGTGCCCCCTCATGGAGAGCCCCTGACAAAATGTGCAGTTCTAAAGTTCGGTGATTAGTTTTACTCAAGTCACAGCAAGTTTTTATGCCAAGCTTGCAATATTGGAACATGTTTAGAAGACAGGAGTTGATCATATATGTAAAAGTTTTTATGTTGAACTAAGCACTGAACACACCATTGAGACCAGCAGCCTGCTGGCAAAGGCTTCTACCATCTGCTGAAACAGCAGACAAAGACCCCTGTATGCACCGAGATGTTTAGGGACAAATAAGTAAAACACTTTCTTTTTCATAGCACTTTGTATCATTGCAGTTGGAGCAGAGCTGACATACAATCACTGGTCTGAAATTAGGGATAAAAGTCAAGGAGTCGTGTCCCTTCATGTTAAAGATTGAAAAATATGAAAAATATTGCAGAATACCTTACAGATCCAAGGTTCCCCTTATGTTCAAAACCTGCTTCCCAAACAGGGATATAGTAACTGTATCTAGTGCCTTGTGTCAAACTGAGACATTGTATCTAGTGCCCTGTGTCAAACTGAGACATTGTATCTAGTGCCCTGTGCCAAACTGAGACATAGTATCTAGTGCCCTGTGTCAAACTGAGACATAGTATCTAGTTCCCTGTGTCAAACTGAGACATAGTAACTTTTGCCTTGTGTCAAGCTGAAACATTGTATCTTGTGCCCTGTGTTAAACTGAAATATTGTATCTAGTGCCCTGTGTCAAACTGAAACATTGTAACTGTTGCCCTGTCTCAAACTGAGACATTGTAACTGGTGCCCTGTGTCAAACTGATACATTGTATCTAGTGCCCTGTGTCAAACTGATAAATTGTAACTGTTGCCCTGTGTTAAACTGAAACATTGTAACTGTTGCCCTGTGTTAAACTGAGACATTGTAACTGATGCCCTGTGTCAAACTGAGACATTGTAACTGGTGCCCTGTGTCAAACTGAGACATTGTAACTAGTGCCCTGTGTCAAACTGAGATATTGTAACTGTTGCCCTGTGTCAAACTGAGACATTGTAACTGTTGCCCTGTGTCAAACTGAGACATTGTCACTGGTGCCCTGTATCAAACTGATACATGTAACTGTTGTCCTGTGTTAAACTGAGACATTGTAATTGGTGCCCTGTGTCAAACTGATACATTCTATCTAGTGCCCTGTGTCAAACTGAGACATTGTAACTATTGCTCTGTGTCAAACTGAGACATTGTAACTGGTGCCCTGTGTCAATGACTCGGCTGTGAATGTAGAAAACGGGGCAGCTTGTGGCGATACAGTAAACAGTCCTTAATCTAAACATGTTTGCGGATGCACATGTTTTGCGTGTTAACTGTTTAATTTTCGTTAGTCTTACATATACGTAGTTACTTATTTAGAAGTTTGTGACTATAAACAATAGCATGAGGTATCGGCACTAGAGGGGTCCCCACATATTTTTGCAAATGGCCGCTTTTGTCACACAAGATTCAAAGTAGTGATCTATCGCTGTTCATAATCGTATACTACAACCAGATTACCAGGTTTCTGTATCTTTTCCATCTGACTAGGTGTACAGGGATGGTGACTGCAAGCTAGGATATTTACATCACGGCACGGTCATTTGCTTACATGGTCGACGGGTAAAATTTAGTCCCGGCCTACAATGGCTAGGAGTCTCAAGAGATCTGTTTCAGAAATGGCTGATCATGTTCAGAGCGCATTGCTATGATGACATTAATGGAGACATAACAACTGTTGTTTTCTGTGAGAAGTTAATTTTCATGCATTGTCATATGTTCTCTGACTGGCGTAGGATGTTTCTCATAGGTTCTTGAATGCCTAGACAAAGTTCATGGACAGGGAGAACTCTATATAGGTTGTGATGTCTGTTTATCATGCAGTTGTTGATTCAGTTGTTGACTTACATCATTTTGTTGCACATTGTGAGACCCTTGTGTAATCTTCACTGCCAGGCTTGAGCATATTGCCAGTCTTGCAACCTTGATTCATAACTTCAAAACATATTTCAGTTAACTAGATTTTACACAGAGCACTAATTACAGTGTCTAGTCCTTTACTGAAAATACCCTAGAGCCTTGCCTTCTCATAAAGATTTGAAGGTGCAATATGTGCAATGTGCAATGAGTCCATGACATGTTGTTGGTTGTTGTTCAGGTATCAAGGCATCGGAGACCGATCTGGAGCGACTGAAGTGCCCCAAGTGTGACTTCCAGGGCTGCTACCCCCAGCAGTACCAGGACCACATCGCCCAGCACGGGGACGACATCCACAAGTGTAAATGCTGCAACTATCTCACCTTTGATAAAGATGACCTCTTCACCCACTTCAGGGTAAGAAAATACATTGACGCTTCACCAAGGTTACTATGATACTAGGGCGTTCCGGTAGCCTAGTGGTTAAAGCGTTTGCTCGTCACGCCGAAGACCCGGGTTCCATTCCCGACATGGGTACGATTTGTGAAGCCCATTTCTGGTGCCCCCTGCTGTAATATTGCTGGAATATTGCTAAAAGCGGCGTAAAATCTAACGCTGCTATACACATTTTTGGGATCCAGTTGGATCCCACTGTAGTCACAGAAAGATATGTATGTATCTATTTGGAAACTACCACTTCAAATATAGGTTAAACTGGGGCTGAACAAAAAGAGTTGTCCAGCTTATTGTTAGTTAAGAGTCCAAACTTCCAACAGTGTAAAAACAGAATACTCACTTCCTTCTTTACTTTTGAGACATGTTCTGTCAATTATGTGTATTAACATGAAGAATACACGTTCAACAAATGTAATCAGTGCTTGTTGTACCAGATATGTTGATGGTAATGGTTCGTGCATTGGGCAAGTGGTATTCAAACTCGGTTAGTAGTCTGTTATTTACGAGACATATTTGGTAGTGCCTGGTTTCAATTGATGTTCCTGTTGAAGGGAATGAATGAAGGAACAAACCCAGTAATGAAAGAGGAGTCTTAGTGTATGACGTACACATCATTGACAGACCCCTGAAGATCCGGGGTAGAATAGGTCTTCAGCAAGCCAAGCTTGCCATGAAAGGCGACTATGCTTGTCGTAAGAGGTGACAAACAGGATCGGGTGGTCAGGCTCACTGACTTGGTTGATGCCAGTCATCGTATCCTAATTGCGTGGATCGATGCGCATGATGTCAGTCACTGAATTGTCTGGTCCAGACTCAATTACTACTGACCACCGTCATATAGCTGGAATATTGCTGATTATTAACAATACACAAACAAACAAACAAATACACATCATGACCAATAACTGTTAGACAAACAGCTGTTGATAATTTAATGATGGATCATAGTTTTGAGTCTACCTTCTAATTTATCAAATAGACTGTTGCAAAATAACAGTGTAGTGAATCTTCTTCATATGATTTAAGACATCTTGGTCTACAGTCTTGGAGGACTATGCAACTGTCTGGACAATGATAGGCTAGCTGTTCAGCATTTTCAAGTCTTAACATTTTCAACACCAGGCTTATGACAAGTATTCTTTGACTTTCATCCTTTATTTCAAACAATGACATAGGAGCCATTCATTCAGTCTTTCCTACCTTCCTTTTCCCCATCTGCCCTTCCTCTCAGTCTGTCTATCCTAGGAGTATTTTGAGAGTATTCTAACAGGTAGGTGGCGCTATCACAGGAAGCGATGAGTGTCAGTGGCCCATGCTGCCAGGGATGCCTGATTACCTGCCTCTAGTGTCTCCGACTCTCAACTGCTAGGCTGAGAATAGGTGCAGGGTTATCTCCCTTGTGTTAGAGGATCGTTCATTAAGATATGGACCATCACCGCCTGTCATGGGTCGGCAGAGGGACGTCTATTTCGGTGAGGGTGGGGGTGGTTCTTGGTTGAAGTAAGTGTTTCAATGCACGTATCGCACTGGGAGATTGCAGCTTTAGTGCTCTTCCTTTGATTGAGGTTAAATATGAGTCTGGGGATTTGCCTTTGCTTGACACCTTCTTCCCTGACGGATAATAAATTGTACCTTCCTCCTCCTCCAGGTGATTCTGTGATGCTATAATTGGCAGGAGCACTGATTTAGAATGCATGGGTTCAGACACTTCACAGCAATGCAAATCTGAAATAGTTTTCAGCTTCAAAATACACTTTTGGATTTTTTCTTTCATTTCAAAGCTTATCAGAATCGAATGAATAGACAATTATATTCTCCTCCAGAACATCCGCCTCTTTCATGTTACTTTAGTTAATCTGTCATGACTCTTTCATATTACTTTAGTTAATCTGTCATGGCTCTTTCATATCACTTTAGTTAATCTGTCATGGCTCTTTCATATTACTTTAGTTAATCTGTCATGACTCTTTCATATTACTTTAGTTAATCTGTCATGACTCTTTCATATTACTTCAGTTAATCTGTCATGGCTCTTTCATATTTCTTTAGTTAATCTGTCATGGCTCTTTCATATTACTTTAGATAATCTGTCATGACTCTTTCATATTACTTTAGTTAATCTGTCATGGCTCTTTCATATCACTTTAGTTAATCTGTCATGGCTCTTTCATATTACTTTAGTTAATCTGTCATGACTCTTTCATATTACTTTAGTTAATCTGTCATGACTCTTTCATATTACTTCAGTTAATCTGTCATGGCTCTTTCATATTTCTTTAGTTAATCTGTCATGGCTCTTTCATATTACTTTAGATAATCTGTCATGGCTCTTTCATATTACTTCAGTTAATCTGTCATGACTCTTTCATATTACTTTAGTTAATCTGTCATGGCTCTTTCACATTACTTCAGTTAATCTGTCATGACTCTTTCATATTACTTTAGTTAATCTGTCATGGCTCTTTCATATTACTTCAGTTAATCTGTCATGGCTCTTTCATATTACTTTAGTTAATCTGTCATGACTCTTTCATATTACTTCAGTTAATCTGTCATGGCTCTTTCATATTACTTCAGTTAATCTGTAATGGCTCTTTCATATTAATTTTGTTAATCTGTCATGACTCTTTCATATGATTTTAGTTAATCTGTCATGGCTCTTTCATATTACTTTAGTTAATCTGCCATGGCTCTTTCATATCACTTTAGTTAATCTGTCATGGCTCTTTCATATCACTTAAGTTAATCTGTCATGGATTTTTCATATTACTTTAATTAATCTGTCATGGCTCTTTCATATGACTTTAGTTAATCTGTCATGGCTCTTTCATATTACTTTAGTTTATCTGCCATGGCTCTTTCATATCACTTGAGTTAATCTGTCATGACTCTTTCATATCACTTTAGTTAATCTGTCATGGCTCTTTCATATCACTTAAGTTAATCTGTCATGGATTTTTCATATTACTTTAATTAATCTGTCATGGCTCTTTCATATGACTTTAGTTAATCTGTCATGGCTCTTTCACATTACTTTAGTTAATCTGTCATGACTCTTTCACATTACTTTAGTTAATCTGTCATGACTCTTTCACATTACTTTAGTTAATCTGTCATGACTCTTTCATATAACTTTAAAGTTAATCTGTCATGGCTCTTTCACATTACTTTAGTTAATCTGTCATGACTCTTTCACATTACTTTAGTTAATCTGTCATGACTCTTTCACATTACTTTAGTTAATCTGTCATGGCTCTTTCATATTACTTTAGTTAATCAGTCATGACTCTTTCATATTACTTTAGTTAATCTGTCATGGCTCTTTCACATTACTTTAGTTAATCTGTCATGACTCTTTCACATTACTTTAGTTAATCTGTCATGGCTCTTTCATATTACTTTAGTTAATCTGTCATGGCTCTTTCATATTACTTTAGTTAATCTGTCATGACTCTTTCATGACAGATTAACTAAAGTAATTAGAAAGAATCAGGTGTTCTTTAACTTCTTTTAAGTAGAATATATATTTAGGTGTTCTATATACCCTTGTAATCATATTTTAACTGACATGTACTTATTGGGTTTTTTATCCTTTATATCATTAGGGAGAATATTCATAAAAGATTTTATTATTTAGGCATTTAGTTTAGATAATCTATTTCTTGCAAAGTCAGCACACTTTGATCTTTGTTATTGTCCAAGCGTCATGTAATCCATTTGAGTTTGATTCACTAATCAATCACTCGTTAATACAGCTACTATCAACCTGACAACTTGTTCTGTGTCAGAGGAGACTGATGGACTGAGAACAAGCTGTATTGGAAGAGATACTGTTTGGGTGAGAACTATCTCTGAGTCTATCAGAGATCGGCCTATCAGTAGCAGCCTGATACAGTTATACACTGCAGACCAGGCAGTTATTAACTTGTCATATTATTGTGAAGGATGTGTGCGATAATCTGTAATTATCTGTTTCTGACTCACGGATGATGCACTAGAGCTTCCCTCCACATCCACAGCTTGCCAACCACAAATATCTGCCGCTGTGGCAAAGTTTAAATAGTTTATACTCATCCACAATGCTTTGTTTCCTGACTAGGGCAGATAATCACCGCCAAATACCATAATTGAATTTAGGTCATTTCAGGGGATGAGAGGTCAAAGTCAAAGTTCATTTTAAAACTTGGGGCAATCAGTGTGATACATAACATGCAAGACAATGTTCTTATGTAATTGTGTGAAAAACACAGATTTCTAGTAATATTGGATTTTTCAGATTGTCTTACAGACCTGATCAAGGATATCTCTTTTTGTTGTTTCACAGCTGTGCTTACCCAAAGTGTTTATTATAAGGATCCTTGATTCAACCCCTTTCTTGTCTGTAATTATATTTGAACTTTTATTCAAGCTACATTTCCAGAGAAATGAAACCACTACCATGCTACAAGAAGGCACTTTCTCAAAATATCCACTTATAGGTTAAAACGTCCTAAAAACCTGCAGCACTTTTATTTTTTATTTTGTTTCAAACAAACTCTTGCCCCATGACACATTTGTGCATCATCTGTAAAAACAGGAAATAAAATGACCTTAGCTAAAAAAAAAAAAAGAAGTAATTTTTGTTGTCGTGGCAACTACAAATTATATAAAGTCAGTGATGAATGCCATGTTGTCTTAGAATGTCCTCACTTCAATTCAGAGAAAGAAATGTATTCACTATCAATTATGTGAAAGGCTAAACACTTTTAGTATAGTTTTGTCAATTGTTCTGACACTGTCAGCCTCTTGTTACAAGAACGTAGAGCAAGTGTAAATAGACGTGTCAGTAAATACCGTCACATGAAATGGCTTGCAATGCAATGGCGCCGATCTGGTGAGAGACATACAATCTGTTACATACCATTGCTAACTGCCTGTTCTATCTGTTTGTAACTATGCATTCTAGGACAGTGGATGCAAAG